TTTCTCTTGGATAAATTTCTAAAAATTAATTTACTGGATCATGTAGTATGGCATGTTTCAATTTTATGAAATTGCTAAATTATTTTCTAAATTTATTGTAACATTTAAAATTTTTATTCTTAGTCTCTGAGAGGTCCAGTTCCTCCAAAACCTTACATGCACTTAGCATCTGAGGCATATATAATTTGGACATTTCAGAAGATTTATAGTGGCATCTCATTCTAGTTTTAATTTACATTTCCCTAATTATGTTAAGCATATTTTCATGCACTAATTTGCCATCAACATAAGTTCAAGGAAATACCTGCCTAAGATTTTTTCTCATGTTTTATTAGGTCATTTGTATTATTATTGAGTTTTGAGTGTTTTAAAATATATTCCAGGTGTATATTATTTATCAGAAAAAGATTTACAAATATTTTCTCAAAGTTTGTGACTCTCTTAAAAGCATATTGTGTGAAAAACAATGGTTCAATTTTGATTACTCCCAACTTAACAATTTGTGTTTTTACGGGATGTACTTTGGATTAATAACTACAAAAATAAATCGTGCCTCAATGCCACAATGCTTTTCTCCAAAGTTTACTTCTAGAAGTTTTATAAGCTTAGACTTTACATTCAGGTAATTGATTCACTCTAAAGTAGTATTAGTATGTCATGTAAGGTATAGATCAAAGCTCCTTTTCTTTTCTAATGAGGATTTGAAATTGTCCCAGCACAATTTGTTAAAAAGATTTTACTTTCTCTACTTCATTGCAACATTGTTGAGAAATAGTTGTTTATTTTTGTTTGCATTTATTTCTGTACACATTTTATATATTACATTATATTATATTAATTATATTACATCATATTATATTATTATTTTATTTTATCTATGTTTTTGATAGCACAATGTCTTGATGATTATAGTATTTTTATATCTCTTAAAATCAAACGATGTTGGTGTAATAGCTTTCCTTTTTTTTCCAAAGGTGGTTTGGTTATCCTGGATTTTTTAAATTTCCACATGAATTTTAATAACAGTTTGTCAATTTTTATTAAAATGTCTGCTGGGATTCTCATATGTCAATTAGAGTAGATAAATATTGAGTTTTGTGACACATATATTTAAATGTTTAAAAATTACTCATAGCAATGTTTTGTATACAGGGCTTTTACTACTTTTGTTAGACTGATACATAAATATTGCATGGTTTTGGTAATTTTATAAATTTTTTAAATTAGAAATTCTGATATTTCATAAAGAAATATAATTATTTTATATTTATCTTATTTCCTGAAACTCTGCTAAAAAGATTAGTTATGATTAGTTCCAGGAGATTTTTATTTCTTTTTTTTTTGGTAGATTCTAGTGCACTTTTTTGTAAGCCATCAGGTCATCTGCAGATAGATGCTTTTGTTCCTTCTTTTCAAATATAGATGACTACTTTTTTTCTCTATATTGCCCTGCCTAGTACCTTTATGGAAATGTTGACTTAAAGTAGATAGTGTGGACAAACTTTTATTTTTTCTGAACTGAAGTCATTAAGGCCTTTAGTCTTTTACCATCTAGTAATGACATTACTGCATAGGTTTTTGTAACTCCCTCTCTGTCAGTTTGAGGAAGTTCTGTTCTACCATTACTTTGTTTAAAGCATTCAACAGATATGAATTCTGAATATTGCCAAATGTTTTCAATCTTTCAACTTAGGTTTTTATGTAGTTAATTACACAATTGATTTTCTAATGTTAAAGCCAGCACTTATATTCCTGGATTAAACTTCAGTTGATCATGTATTATCCTGATTTGCATTGATCATGTTGTATTGTTTGATTTGTTAAAACATTTAATTGATCATGTTGTATTGTTTGATTTGTTAAAACATTTAATAATATTTACATAAGTCCTTTATCTGGCTCCTTTTAAAAGTTTTAAAAGTTTGTTGTTTTTTATCTTTAGTTTGCAAAATTTTAATTATGATGTATCTTAGTGTAGATTTATTTGGCAGGATCCTTTCGAGGTTTGTTAAGTTTCTTAAATCTGTGGGCTCATATCTGCCATCCAATTTGAGAAATTTTCAGACATTATATGTTTAAATACTCATTCAGTCCCTCTTCTTTCTCTTTTTTTCTGTGACTCATATGATATGCATTTTATATATTTTGTTACTATCCTTCAGGTTATTTTTTCTTTCTTTCTTTTTTTTTTTTGGTCTATATAGTCTTTATTGTTCAGATTAGGTGAATTATATTATTCTGTCTTCATCCTTGTTACTTCTACTCTCTTTCATTCCTATTTTGTTATTGAACTATCCCCAAGTGTTTTTAAAATTTATGAAAAAATATTTGTGTAATATCTATTTGGATATTATAACATAACTTATTTTTTTTGCTGAGATTTTATAATTTTTCACTTGAATCAAAAAAACTTGTAATTTCTTATGGCAACAGTTTTGTTGATTGCTTCAAAATCCTTGTCAGAGAGTTCCAATATGTGATTTATCTCATTGGTATTCATCCCTTTAAAACTGTGATTTTTCTGGTTCTCATTATGATATATAAGTTTTACTATATCCTGGTCATTTTGTTTATTATGTTAGGTGACTCTGCCTCTTACTTGAGATTTCTTTTTTTAAGCAGAAATTTACTATTTAGCTCACGGGTTTGTGGACCATGATTCCACTTACGATATATGTTTTAGAGCCGTTTGGTGCTGCTTTTTCTGACTGATTTATCTCGTATCAATGGGCACCCACTGTTCCCTGCTGGGATAGTCTGAAGGGATGGAAAAAGTTTTCCCACGTCAGTGCTGGTTATGGAGGGTTCCTCCCTGCTGTAGAGGAGGTAGGATAATGGGGACTTTGGAGCAGGTCTATCTTTGCTGGTACTCTCTGCTAGGACGGTGTCTCTAGTCGGGGGAGGGTAGTCTCAGGACCTTCACAAAGCGGCCTCTTTCACTGGGCACGTATGAGGAGGTACCCCTGCCAGTGTTCCCGGTTACACAGTGCCTCTGAGTGGGGCAGAGTATTCTCACACCCAGGGCAGTGCTGGTTAAGGAGGGTTCCTCCCTGCTGTAGAGGAGGTAGGATGCCAATGGGGACTTTTGAGCAGGTCTATTCCTCAGCTGGTACTCTCTGCTAGACGGTGTCTCTCAGTCGGGAGGGTCTTGTGGACCTTCACAAAGCGGCTCTCTTCACTGGGCACGATGAGAGGTACCCTGCCAGTGTTCCCCGGGGTTACACAGTGCCTCTGAGTGGCAGAAAGAGTTCTCACCCAGGAGAAGTCTAGCACTTCTGCTGGCTTCCAGTGCTGTCACCACTCACTGATGTTTGTGGCCTTGTTTGGTATTAGTGGGGCCTTCTTATAAGCAATCCAGAGGTAGTATACATCGCTATCTAGCATGCTAATTGTTTTAATGATGGGGCGGAAATGTGCCTGCCTATTTGGTGTTCTTTCGGTTTGGTGAGCAGGTAATGTATCCCGCCTCTGTGCTGTCCAGTGCTGTCCTGAGACCCAATCAGGTTTCCTTCCTTCTCCTTCCGTTTTTCAGAGTTCTTATTTGGTTGTCTCTTCTGTTTTCTTCAGTGTTTACAGTTGTACTTCTTGGGGAGGAGCAGAGAGAGATGAGCTTGTCCGTTTTAAAAAAAATTATGTATGTATGTATGTATGTATGTATGTATTTATTGACGGAGTTTCGCTCTTGCTGCCTAGGCTGGAGTGCAGAGGTGTGGTGTCGGCTCACTGCAACCTCTGCCTCCGAAGTTCAAATGATTCTCCTGCCTCAGCCTCCCGAGTAGCTGGGATTACAGATGCCTACCACCAAGACCGGCTAATTTTTCTTTTTTTTCTTTTTTTTTTTTTTTTTTGTTTTTTTTATTAAGACGGGGGGTTTTACCATTTTGGCTAGCTTGGTCTCGAATTGCAGATCTCAGGTGATCCACCTGCCTCGGTCTCCCAAAGTGTTGGGATTACAGGCACCAGCCGCCACGCCCGGCCATCTGTGTCATCTTGTCAGGACCAGAAGTCATTCTAAATTGGCTTTAAGTAGCTAATTCTTTAATGATTTGTGTTTGAACAATTTTTCAGTGTATTTAACAAGATATATTTCCATGTTTATTAACTGTTTTTTCACTGATTATTCTTGTCTCCTTATTTTACATGACAGTTTAAAATCATAAATATATTAATATCATTTCAGGTGTGTTTGGTATAAATAACTTCAGCTTCTTTGTTCTTTTAGTTTTTTAAACAATTTTTAAATTTTTACAATGCTTATATTTTTAGAGATGATTTTTGGAGACATTGAAATTATTTTAACTGAAAGAACTAGACTTACTTATTCTATAATTTAAAATAATGTTGTGAGTCATTGATAATAACAGACTTCAACATTATATAACAACCGATGCTATTGATAATAACAGGTTTGCAGGGAAAAGGAAATATTAAGTAGATGTAATGGCAATTTTTTTTTTTTTTTTTGCAAGAGGATTAGAGTGAATTGGGTCAATTTGATTTAATCTGAATTAGTACTCTGGTCAACATTGGCAGAATCAGATTTTTATGCTTTTAGAATAATTTTCTCTTATATCTTAGCCTATTTTATGTTGCATAATGGATGCTCCAAAGCTTATTCAATTTATTGTGCATAATAGATGTTCAACAATTATTAATATTTACTAATAAATACAGTGTCCTGAACATTATATGTCTTTCTGTGGACTTCATGATTCCTCATATTGCCTAATATAGACTATAAATTCAAGAAGATCTCAGTAAGTATGAATGGAAGATGCACATTGTATATAAACAGGGGATCACAAATTGTGACAAGAGGATGCACACTGATGACTCTTACTGCAATAATAAATAATTACCTCCCTCTATCTTTTGTAAAATGCTTCTGACCACTAGGGAAAAATGGAAGGTGGAAAAAACAACCAATAATTTAAAGGCTTTGCCATCATATAAAATGATAAACGTAATGATAGTTTCATTCTTTTTATTCTTTTTTTTAGGTTCAGGTTCTTCGGAATGCTGGAGAAGAAGTGACTCTAACAGTGTCATTTTTAAAAAGAGCACCTGCTTTCCTCAAACTCCCATTGAATGAAGATTGTGCATGTAAGCATTTAGAAAGAATAGATAAAAGTGCTCACATCATTATAGCTACATAATAATTATTTTGACAATAATTGGTGATTTCTTCTTAAAGTTGAAATTTTTTCGTGACTGTAAATATCTTTATATTACAAAGTGTTCTACTAACCCTTATGAAAAGGAAACAGATTTTTTTTCTTCTAGTATAGAATCACCACATTATAGTTTTTTTTCTAACCTACAATTGGAGAAGTATTACTTGTTTTAAAAATAAGCATCATATCAAATATCATGTATGCATTATGCATGTCTATTAAATTTCATCAGAATACTTGGTGAATATACTTTCTCTAACTGAAAATTACTACTAAGCAAGAATGTGTGCTTAAGTTAATCTGATGAGAGAATATAAGAAAAGCGTTTGCCTTTGTGGGAATGTACTAATTTACATAGAACTACTTAAAAAGTTATTTGTCAACTTTATTTTCTGGTTGCATTTTCTAAAATGAAATGTATATTATCTAATACTTTTGCTGAAAAATGGAAGAATAATATATTTTTCACTGAGACATAATTTGTATGCAATAAAATGCAAATATCTTGCACAGTCAGAGCAGTTCTGAAAAGGCACACATTTGCTTAATCCACTTCCTGCAATCATAAAACTGTTCCCAGTAAATAACAGCCCAGAAATGACTACTCACTTACACTCTCTTCTTTATACATTATTTTACTTCTTCTAGAACTTTATAGAATGGAATTCTACTTTTCTTATTTTTTATTCTGGCTTTTTCTTTATGAATAATTTCCTTCAGATTCACTTATGTTACATATTTCTTAGTTTGTTCATTTATATTGCTGTTTATTATTCCATTGTATGAATTTATTACATTTATTAATGCATCTTTCTGTTGAAGGTACCAGCACTGTTTCCAGTATTTTGCTATAATAAATAAAGTTGCTGGAAACATTATTTTATTTAACTTATATTTTAAGTTCAGAGGTACAAGTGCACGGTTGTTACATAGGTAAACTTGTGTCCTGGGGGTTCGTTGTACACAAACCAGTTATTAAGCTTAGTGCCCATTAGTTACTTATTCTGATCTTGTCCCTCCTCCAACCCTACATCCCACCGAAAGGCCACAGTGTGTGTGGTTCCCCTCTATTTGTCTATGTGTTCTCATCATATTGCTCTCACTTATCAGTGAGAATGTGAAGTATTTGATTTTCTGTTCCTGTGTTAGTTTGCTAAGGATAATGGCCTCCAGCTCCATCCATTCATGTCCCTGCAGTGGACATGATCTCATTCTTTTATTATGGTGGCATAGTATTTCATGGTGTATATGTACATTTTTGTTATCCATTCTATCACTGAAGGGCATTTAGGTTGATTCCATGTCTTTACTATTGTGAACAGTGCTGCAATGAACGTACGCATGCATGTGTCTTTATAATAGAATGATTTATATATTTCGAGTGTATACCATTTGACCCAGCAATCCCATCACTGGAAGCTTCTTGTATAAGGGTTTTGGCAGTTTTATATTTTTATTTTAGTACAATAAATACCTAAGAATGGAATTGCTGAGTGACTATATAGATGTATAATTAACTTGTTAATAAATTGCCAAATTTAGAGGGGTGCAGGGGCCCATGTCTGTAATCCCAACATTTTGAGAAGCCGAGGCTGGCAGATCACCTAAGCTCAGGAGCTCAAGACCAACCTGAACAACATGTTAAAATGTCGTCTCTACCAAAAAAAAATAAAATAAAATAAAATAAAAATAAAAATAAAATAAAATTCACCAGGCATGGTGGCATGTGCCTGTGGTTCCAGCTACTTGGGAGGCTGAGGTGGGAGGATGACTTGAGCCTGGTAGGCTGAGGATGCAGTGAATTGAGATCATGCCACTGTACTCCAGCCTGGGTGACAGAGTGAGACCTGGTTTCAAAAATAAATAAATAAATATAAATAAATTGTGAAATTTATTTCCAAAGTGAGCATATTTTTTATTGTGGGAAATAACACATAACATAAAATTTACCATCTTTACCATTTTAAGTGTTCAGAAGAATAGTCTTAAGTCTATGTACATTAGTGTGTAACATATCTCTAGAAACTTTTGATATTGCAAAATGGAAATTCTATACCCCTTAAACTATTCCCTATTTTCCTCAGAGTCACCCCCTGGCAAACACATTGCCTTCTTTGAAGACGTGTCTATTCAAGTCTTGTATCCAGTTTTAAATCTGGTTATTTATTTTGCTGTTGTTGAGTTGTAAGAATTCTTCAGATACTCTGACTATTAACGTATTATCAGACATATGGTTTGAAAATATTTGTTCCCATTTCAAAAGTTGCTGTTTCACTCTGTTGATCATTTTATTTATTTTACAAAATTTTTAATTCTTCTGTAGTCAAGTCTATTTTTTGCTTCTAATGCCTGTGTTTTTGGTGTCCTATTCAGGAAATAATTGCCAAATCCAGAGTCATAAAGAGTTTTCTCTAAGTTTTCTGCTAGGATTTTTTACAGTTCAAGTCTAATGTTTAGGAATTTAATTTGTTTTGAGTCAATTTCTATACATAATATCAGATAAGTGCCCAACATTCTTTTGCATGAGGATATCCAGTTTTTCCAATACAATTAATTGAAGAGAAGATTATTCTTTCCCTATTGTATAACCTTAACAAGTTTGTTGAAAATAATTTCATCACATATTGAGGGTTAATTTTAGGATTACTCTGTTCCATTGTTCTGTGTGTCTGAATTAATGCCAGTACCACGTTGTTTTGATTACTGCAGCTTTGTAGTATATCTTGAGTTCAGAAAGTGTAAAGCCCCAGCTCTGTTTTTCTTCCTCAAGAATTTTTTGACTATTCAGAATTAGTTGAGGTTCTATATGAATTTTAGGATAGATTTTCTATTTCTGCAACATAATACCATTGAGATTTTGATAGGGATTGCATTGAACCTATAGATTGCATTGCTTAGTATGGACATTTTAACAACATTAATTCTTCCAATACATTAGCATGGAATATCTTTCCATTTATTTGTTTCATCTTTAATTTCTCAATGATGAAAACTAGTTTTCAGTGTAAAGACTTTTAACTTTTTGGGTTAGATTATTCCTAATTATTCTTTCTGATGCTATTATAAATAAAATTGTTTTCCTTTTTTATTGTTAATGGATAGAAACAACTGATTTTTTATGTTGTCTATTCTGCAACTCCCTTAGACTTGTTTATTAGTTTTAACATTTTTGTGTGTGTTTAAACTTTAGAGTTTTCTACATACAAGCTCATATCTGCAAACAAAGATAATTTTACTTCTTCTTTTGAATTTGGGTGACTTTTATTTCTTAGTCTTGCCTAATTGCTTCTGGCTATAACTTTTGGTTGCATGTTGAACAGAAGACCTGAGAGTGGGCATCCTTGCCTTATTCCTAATCTTAGAGGAAAAGCTTTCAGTTTTCCATCATTCAGTCTAGAGTTAGCTGTGGGCTTTTTATATATGAATTACCTTTATTATGTTGAGATAATTTCCTTCTGTTCCTAGTTTGTAAAATGTATTATATTTTAAATTGTGAAAACGTATTGAATTTGGCAAATGCTTTTTTCTTCATCAATTGAGGTGACTATGTGGGATTTTTTTTTCTGCCATTCTGTTACTGTGGTGTGTTAATTACATGAATAGATATTTTTTCATGTTGAACCATCCTTCCTTGCATTTCAGGAAAAAGTCACAATTGATCTTGGTGTATAATCTTTTAAATTGGTAGTTGAATTCAGTTTTTTAGTATCTTTTTGAGAACTTTTGCATTCATGTTCATCAGGAGTACTGGTTTGTAGTTTAATTTTTTTGTAGTATCTTTGTCTGGTTTTCATATCTGGTTAATGTTCACCTCAAATTGGAAACTGCTTTCCCCTCATCAAATTTTTTTGAAAGAGTATGAGAAGGATCAGTGCTAATTCTTCTTTAAATGCTTGGTAAAGCTCCACAGGAAAACCATCTGGTTGTGGGCTCTACTTTTATGTGAAGAATTTATTAATGATTCAATTTCCTTACTAGTTCTATGTCTGTCTGTATTTTTTGTTTTTCCATAATTGATTGTTGGTATGTCACATATTTCTAGAATTTTATCTATTTTTTCTAGATTTTTCAGTTTATTGGCACATAATTGTCCACATTACTCTCTAACGATCCTTTTGGTTTTTTGGCATCAGTTGTAATGTCTACTCTTTCATTTCTAATTTTTATTTACATTTTTTTGCTTTTTGGATTAGCCTAGTCAAAGTTTTGTCATTATTGTTGATCTTTTCAATAAATCAAGTATTTGCTTTATTGTCTTTCCATTTTATTTATTTTTGCTCTAATCTTTATAATTACTCTCCTTCTGCTACCTTGGGTTTAGTTTGTTTCTTTTTCTAGTTTTTGAGGAGTAAAATTTGGTTGTAGATTAGAGGTTTTTAAATTATTTTGTAACGTACTGCTTTAACATGCAAATGTTTACTGATAAAATTTTGTCTCTTAGTAACGCTTTTACTGTATCCTATGAGTTTGTGTATGTTGTGTTTCATTTTAATTTGTTGGATATTGTTTAAAATATTTTTAATTCCCTTGTGATTTCTTTTTTGACTCATTGGTTCTTCAAAATTTCATTTCTTAATTTCCACTCATTTGTGTATTTTTCAATTCTCTCTCTTCTATTGATTTCTAGTTTAATACCATTGTATCAGGAAAGATATTTGGTATGATTACAATCTTCTTAAATTTAATAAGACTTGTTTTGTGACCACACATGTAAACTATTAGGGAGAATATTTTGTGTACACATAAGAAGAACGTATATTTCAGGCAAACGGTCTGGAGTGGACCTCCAGCAAAATCCAGCAGACCTGCAGCATAGGGTCCTGATTGTTAAAAGGAAAACTAGCAAACAGAACTAGCATCACCATCAACAAAAAGGATGTCCACAAAAAAAACCCATCCAAAGGCCCCAACATCAAAGACCAAAAATAG